TTCCTGTACCTTCAGGTCTATTAAACGACCCTGTCAAAAACGTTGTTTTAAAAATATTGTATTCGATAAAAATATAGTAGTGCCCTTAGATAAATAAATGAAATATAGATAAGTAAAGGTCTGGATTTGTTTCTTTCTCTTTCTCCTGGGTCTATTTTAAATAGCAGCTGTCAATTGTCAGTTTTGTTTGTACAATTTCTGTGATTTTTTATTTCCAGAGATTTTCTGTAGTTTTTTTAACAAATTTTATTAGTGGTAAGTCTAAAAAATACTATTAAATGTTTTGTTTGTCCTAAAACATATATTTGGAGAAGTACCACGCCGTTTCAAATAAAAAACATAGGCAGTCCAAATATTTTGTAGAATATTATAAGTAATTTTTTATGCAAGTTTCCAACAAACATTGAAGCAATGGAAATTTTGATTTATAACCTAGAATTAGGAACGGTTGAAGTTCATAAAATTATCAAAAATACCAAAATATATTGGAAATATTTTATAAATTATGATATTATGAATTCCGCGGGGAAAGACGAATTTAAAGCTGGAATAGTATAAACACCATGTGTTCTAAACGAATATTCGCTAATTTAATAAATATAGAATATATTTTTTCCTTTAATACCAGAAATTCTCAATTTTGGAGTTTCTTAGAGGGTTAAAAATACACCCAAAACAGTATAGCCTTTTATCGATGTTTTCAAAAATAATTTCTTTGAGTTTGTCAAAAATCTGAAGATTTTACGAATTGTATGTATGTTTATATATTTTTGGATGAGTCTTAAATAAAAAATTGTGGAAAATATAACAGGAGGATCTCTAAAATGCTCTACTTAGAGTACTTACATTCTTTATATTATTAAAAATTATTTATTAATTCAAATTGGAATTCCTTATAATTATCAATAAGTAATATTAAAAATATAATAAATGGATTAATAAATAAAATACAATTTAAATATTTGTTCGTAAATATATTTAATAAAAATGTGGCAGTTTTACCTGAACAGTATCAAACGACAGAGAAGAACGAAGTGTAAGAGGGCCTTAGAAATTATCAATCGCATTTTACAGCATTTTTATTAAGTTTTTTCTGTAGTACCTTTCCCAAACAATTCTAGATATAACAACAAACATTATGCATTACAATACAATGGGCTGCAATGTTTATCATTATCAAAATAGTAAAATTTCCTAATGAAATTTTTAAACGTAGTCATTAAAACTCAATGTTAATTTACATAAATTTGCAAGTCCTAGTAAATAATGTGATACAAATTAAAATCAATGAAATAAAATATTAAGAAATTGTATTCTGTTTCAAATTTGGTTTAATAAGCAAACTTCAGCTTGCTTCAGTTATATTCCACGCCCTATTCTCAATGATCATAGGTAGTACTCCAATGGGCCATGTTCACATGTGAGATATACTGTTTTATAAATTATATTGTAACAGTTAGTCGCTATACAAGTTATTCTACACAATCAGTTGATTAAAAAAGCCAAAAGTTTTTAAATTAAAACCAATTTAAATTTAAAATTTGAAATGTATACGTCATCGGGAATAGACCAATCAGCTTGTGTCGAAGTTTTTTTTTCCCATGAATAACTTGAGAAAAGGAGATATTTGCTCAGTAAACGGAATAATTACACATGAACATAAAGTATTTTGCATTGTTTCTTCCACATTTGAAGTAAATAATGAAGTCGATAACAAGTTGAATTTGATAATGAATCTTTAGAGGACATTTTAATTTGACATCTCCATTATTGTTAGGGCTCGTGTATATATTTTTTATTATTTGTAAATAAAGTGTTTTTTACTTCGTTTATCTTATTCAGGTATTTTTATTTTTTAATAATAGGTTAGTAAATAAAATTTTCAGATTTTACATTTTTGTTTATATACAATTATTATAATCTCTGAAATGTGATAAATTATTAAAAAAAACAGTTTGTTAAATTATTTGGTATTTAGTCTTACAAAATGAGTTCTTTTAAGTTAAAAATACTAAGGCTGGTAACCGTGACTTTTTAACCGGTTCCGTAAACCAAAAAATCGTTATAAAACGTAACCGGTTTAACCGTAACCGGTTTAACCAGAACCGGTTTATAACCGATTTAACCGCAACCGGTGTAACTCTAATTGAACCAGTTAAACCTGTCGCTTGTTGAGCCGCAATTGGTTTAACCGTACCCGAAACCGGTTTTAGCGAGACCATGAACGTAAACGAACTAGTTTGAGCTCTTAATAGGGATGCGCATATTTCTTAAAACGTCGATACTGACATCGAAGTGAAAAAAACGATAGTTATAAACATCGATGGTATTATACATTAAAAGTAAGTAAAATAAAATGAGACTGTATTTATTTTATAAAAAAATACAAACAAATATAAAGTAAGGAAAGGTGAAATGGTTAGTAATGTGATCCCATTTCTATTGAAAACAAAGGCATTGGTGGATGTGTTTTGCCATGATTAAGCCGGTGATGGTTACAGGTAAACCAGTAACGGATAAACCAGTGACGGGTTTAACTGGTCATGGTTACGGTTAAACCGCCGAATCCTGTCTAACGGGTCCGGTTTGACCGGCTAGGTTTGATCGGACCAGTTAACCAGATAATCGACCGGATATAAGGACCGGTTAACCGGATATCCTGATCGGTTAACCGGATATCCGGACCGGTTATAATAATAGTAAAAATCCGGTTAAAACCGAATAACCAGTCAAAATCAGTCAAACCGGTTAACCGTTTATCACGTCAGGAATTGACAGCCTTAAAAAATACCACTAATTCACACAGAAATGTAAAACTTTCCTTCTCATAAATATTGAGGATTTTAAAAACACTGTTGGGCAATCCTAAATATACCTTAGGTTTATTTTCAATTTTGGGAGCTCATTGGTTTTGAAGATCCCTCTGAATAAGATATTAAAGATGTTTCTTCCGATTCAGACAAAACTTTGTCTTTAAAACTTTCAGGAGGTTTCGAGACAGGTTCTTGCAGAAGGGGTTTTAGGATATACACCTTCGAACTTATAGTAGGCTCATTTTAAATTAACCAAAGGGGGCAATGTCAGAAATTGCTGCTGCATCTTGAAGATCCGGTGTATGTTTATTAAATAGAGATGAAAAATGCCTCTAGTAGAAGGTTATTTTCCAGTCAATATTTTTTTTGTTTTCTGTTTTTCTATTTTCGGTACAATCAGTGAGCTGGCTCTTGTGTGGTGAATAAGAACTGTGGAGACATTTGTGTGGCACTATCCATTTCTTATAAGTAAAGGTTTATCCATCATTAAAAAGGAACAGTTTTCAAAATCATCTGGTATATATAAAAAAAAAAGAAAAAAACACCGTTACTACAATGGTAGATAATTGAATAATTAAGGTACAAACCTCAACAAAATAATTTAGCTGTTGCTTGAAGCGTTTTTGTGTAATGATAACAATTTTCGTCTTTTCATATTTCTAGCAACACTAATAAATATTTTCAATAATGAATGTAAAATGTAAATCATTATCACATCTTGGGAAGAAACATTTTTGACATATTTATAAAAAGGGTTGTAATTAACTGAACAGTATTTAATTCATTATGTACAGTATAATATTACAAACAGTTAGTAAAATATTGTAAAAAACTCAGTACTTTTATAAAATATGATGAGTAAACATAAAATTTTGTAGCAGTAAAATTACTATTTGGCCTGTATTTCTATGTTCACTTTTGTGATTATAATGGTCAGTAAAAATTAATGAAATGTCAGTATGAATTAGCCGGTAATAATTCTACAAATGGTCAGTAAGAATTAATAAATGGCCAGTATGCAGCAGTCAGTAATAATTTTGAAAATGTGCATTAAATAAGTAGTATTATGTTTTTAGATCGAGTGTTTCATGATTTTGGGCTACCGGTTTGCAGCAAAGAAGAAACTGAAGATTTTGTTTTTTGTTTAAAACAATTAAGTCTGCCTGTCAGGATATATTTCAAAAATCAATTGCCCCAAAATACACTCGCGTATCAGGGACAACACTGATGATTTGTAATTGAGGTGGTGGGTGGGTTTGTGTGAATGCATCTTGTTTGTTTTCATTTACTAGCAGTAGTATTTTATAAACCATAGAAGCAAATTTCACATACATGAACAAATAATATTAATGCCGTGACAACAAAAAGACGAACCAAAAAATTTCAATCCATACCTGGCTACGCCGACCGGCATAAACACCAACGGCCTGGACACAGCTCACCTACTCTGTCAAAAGGAGACCGATGTACAAATAAAACGCGTATTATTATACTGATCATTTATTATTTTCACCGACCATTTAATATTATACTGACCATTTATTATTTTCACCGACCATTTATTATTTTTACTAACCATTTATTATTTTTACTGACCATTTATTATCTTTACTGACCATTTATTATTTTTACTGGCCATTTATTATTTTTACTGACCATTTATTATTTTTACTGACCATTTATTTTTATACTGACCATTTATTATTTTCATCGACCATTTAATATTATACTGGCCATTTATTATTTTCCCCGACCATTTATTATCATACTGACCAACTGAAATAAAATACTGGAAAAATGTACTTGCCATAAAATTTAAATAATGATCATTTAATTTGTGCCCTTATAAAAACATCAAAATTGCATAATTATCGATTGACAACACAAAATTCTTGATTCACAGATGACACATGCAGTGCTGCCGCATTTCCATTTTCTTGTTTATTAGTTGTCGTTTTTTAAAACAATGAAACTATAAATATGGTGAAAGTGTAAACATAAAAACATAGTTTCTATTGGTCTATTTCCGGTGACGTCATACATTTTAAAAAATTAATAACTCGGGCAAATGAAAAATTTAAATGTAGCTTTATTTTGAACTCTATTATTTATAAAAAAAATTAAAAATTGGAATGGGAGAGCCAGGACTTTAGTTGTAGTTTATGGAAACCTTTATATCCAATATCACCGCGAACCGCGTGCGCGCTCGGCACATTTTGTACACAAGACTCGGCACTCGGCACATTGAAGGTCGCAACTCGCAACGTCTACGGATCCTGCCTTAGCGATAAATTTTCGTCTACCTATCTCTTCTCGATATAAATTTATTCAACCAAATTTTCATGTAAAAGTGGACATCGGTAGTGAAACTGACCTGACATTATCGTTTTTCTAAAAACTTTCGATAAATACCCTCGTTCGCTCAGTTTTCATTTTTTTTTTAAATAAAACTCTTATCTGGAAAAACAGTGAAAAGAAAAATTGTGTACGTTTCTAATTGGCAGTGGTTTCTATTTTACTTTGGTTAGAGGTAAGTTATGACAAAAATAAATACAAAAGTTATACTTTTTTGATATATTATCGATGCGCGAGCGAGTTTTATTTTTGCCAACTTCTGGAAAAATGTTTGTTTCTAAAAATATAACTACCGGTACATAAAATTTTTATAAAATTAGATCTTACAATAGCGCAGTTAATAGTTCACATTTTAATAACCTATTTAACTACTATACCTCGGCGCAATCTCTTGTAACGAAAATCAATAAATATTTGGTCCATATTCCGTAACAGAGAATTGAATGACACCGGTTTATTCGCCAATGCCAATTAAATAATATTGCTGTAATAAATAAGTATCTACCTATAATAAACTGATTCAATAAAAAATTGGTTTATATAGCCAGTGCGGTCTAAAACGATGAATTTTTTTATTAATTATTAGAATAAGCAACCGGGCTAATATGATTTTTAATTCGGTACTATTTAAAAAGTTTTTATTCTAAAGTTAAAAATCTATATTAATATAATAATTTATTACAATATTGCTCTTTTGATTTGTGTTATAAAATTTGATTTCATTTCTGATAATTTTTTAATTTGAAGATGGTCAATTACTTCTAAAGCGAGCAAAAGGGGGCACTTAACACTTTTTGATAAATTACATACACTCTAGTTAATAAAAAAAGTTTTGTGTTTGTGTCCCGCCCCTATTGCCTAATGTAAATTTTTATCATCATATGACGCTTATAGGTTATGTAACAAATAATATTTAAAATAACAAGTAATTAGCACTAATGCTTGACAACATCAACCTGAGAAGAAGACTCAAGAAAGTGATTAGCTAAGTGGTCGTGTTAATAAAAAATCTGATATGTCCAACACATGACTTTCCTGTCTATAGTTACTACAATCTTTTTGCGGTTATTTTGTTTAACTTATTGTAAATGTTCAGAGGATGAACTAAATACATACATTTTCTACACATATCTTACTCGAAACATTTTTTATATATATTTATTGCCAACGTAAATACTGAAAAATTTAAATTTTACACTTTTCCTCAAATTACACCATTACGGTTAATTTTAGACAAATCATAATTATAACAAAAATTATAGAGAATGATATCGCAAACAACTTTTATTTGAAAAAATTTCTTCTCCAATTGCAAATTACAGTTCATTCTAAATCGATATTAAGAATATTCTATAAAATTCTATAAACTTTTGGATTTTTTTTTTATTTCAATTTTTTATCTCTATTCGTTTTTACATAATGAGCATTTTTCTAAATTTTCATGTTTTTTATGTCTCTCCCTTAAATTAAAATTAAATTTCATTCTAAATTAATATTAAAAATGCTCTATATTCTATAAAATTCTATACTCTTTAGGATTATTTTAGTTTCAAATTTTTATCTCTATTCGTTTTTATATTGTGGAGATTTTCCAAATTTTCACTTGTTCTTTATGTCTCTCCCTTAAATTAAAATTACATTTATTTCTAAGTAGATGTCATGAATTTTTTTTTTAGAGTATTATTAGTAGTCATTACTGACTAACCTACAATTTCAATCTAATTACTTATCTAAGAATTCCCCATTGGGCTATCTTAATTGTTTCTATAGGAAAGCATCACAAGTTGCTGTGACGATTTATTACACTGTTTTACACTAGTACTAACATTAACGTTCACTGCACTAGCTCAAATGGCTTCTTCCTTTTGAGCCTTCTGTTGAGTGTAGAGTTGTCCAGTAATTGCAGCGCCTCTTCGTTGACGTGAGAGTGGAGTCGACCCTCATGTTGTTTTCTCCTAGATATAATTCAGTATCTTTCAGAGTAGTAGTTGTTTTCTGGAGAAAAGCGGTAACTTGAATTATTCTGTGATGACACATCACTTTTCTATTAAAGAAAGAAGAGTAACTTAAAGTGAAAATTTGAGCAACTTTTAAAATAACTTTAGGAATAAATTCATCAAATAATATTTCTGTTGTAAACACCTTGAAACTTTATAATTCCTTCTGAGACTTTATTTAGGGTGGAGAAACCTTAAAAGTTTTCGTAAAACTTTGATACTTTTTAAAAGGAATTAAAAAAAAAACATTTACGCATTATTCTGTACTACATCTATGAAAATTTGCTGGTTTTTATTATAATAAATATCAAGTAGTTTTTAAATGGAGGTATTTCTCCAATTTTTTCTCTTTAGAGTGCTGTATTATCGTTGCATAAAATTAAAGCTCTCAATATTCTCGATAACATAATGTCGCTAAGTATTCCCAGTGACGTGCACATAAATACAATTTTATATTAGAGAAGTCCGGTTTGCTCTTATTTTTTTTTTATTTACGATATTAAATATATCTACTAAATAATTGTGGTACTAAACCTTTTTTAAATATAATCCTATTTTTCAATAGTTGTCCTTTTAACATTTTAATAATTATATTAAGGTTTTTTAAAATAATTTTAGTTTTTTAGGTACTTTTTAAACAAAATGTTTTATTATGCTAAAGACTTTGTAGTTCGTTATTTAACGCATTTTTTTGTATAAAAATATTCAATATTTTTACCCTCTACTCTCGCGTTCATTCAACAGACAGGTTTTAGACACATCTTGTATACGTAAATAATTTATTGCAGAATATCTACATTTACACCAGGTGTTTCTGAATCGTATAACGTACATCATATTCTGCGTAGTTGACACATTATTATTGTATTTCGTTTACCATAGAAATAAACCAACAATAGTTCTACCAACTGATAAGCTAAAAATTTAAACAATCAATTGATAAAAATTGTATAAATCATAATTACGTTACGTAAATGTTTTTCCCGTTTTAAGGTAACTATTCAGAGGTATTTTAAACCAGTTTTAATTAAAATAAACCTAAATTGAGGGGGTGTTTGCTTTAAATAGGAAAATAACTTGTTCTAAAAAAATGGTAAAAATAAATAATTGTTGAAATTTATTTTTGTGTAGTTATTATTTTTCTTGATGGAAATTAAATTTTTTGAAAGCAAGTAAAAGGTGATTTGCCGCCCCCTGGCTATCTAGACCTACCGTATACTGAACATTTCTATAATGGAATAATATATGACCCTGTATGATGAACAACTCTTCAACCTACAAGGCAATTATTTTCTATTCTTTGGCAACAATTTCAACAATTTGTTGTTGATTTTTTCACCTTACATATTCAGCCACGATCAACTTGTAAGTGCGAAATTTTTTGTAATATTTCCAGGATGTCCGATTTTTAGGATAATGCAGGTTTTAGAGAGGATGTCTTATAGATTTTTGTTGCTCACTCGAAGTTTCTGCCTTGATTCGTGTATGTGATGTGATTATTTATTTTTCAGATTTTTGTAATGGTCAATAAATTGCGTTTGGTATATCCTGGTTTACTCCAATCCTTTTGATTATAAGAACTAAGCTGGAGTGTTTTTTTTATTGTTAGATTATTGTTACTAGTCATTACTGACTAACCTACAATTTTATTCTAAAAATCTTATAACTAATTACTTATCTAAGAAGTCCCCATTGGGCTGTCTTAATTGTTTCTATAGGAAAGCATCACAAGTTGGCGTGACGATTTATTACAGTGTTTTACACTAGCACTAACATTAACGTTCACTGCACTAGCTCAAATGGCTTCTTCCTTTTGAGCCTTCTGTTAAGTGTAGAATTGTCCAGTAATTGCAGGGCTTCTTCGTTAACGTGGGAGTGGAGTCGACACTCATGTTTCGCAGTAAACCTTTTTATTTCTTCTTCGATTATTGGCATCTTCAGGTCTTTATGAAGATAATCGTTTCGGTAGAAGCAAGGTGCATCAACAATGCATCTTAGGACTTTATTTTGGAAAACTTGTATCATGTTGATATTACTCTTGCTGGCACATCCCCATAGCTGTATACCATAAATCAAGATTGGTTTTAGGATTTGTTTATAAATCAGCAGTTTGTTGTTCACTGACAATTTGGATTTTCTTCCTAGGAGCCAATACATTTTTTTAAATTTAAGTTCAAGTTCTTTACGCTTTTTTTATGTGCTCTTTCCATTTAGGTAAGTTTTACATCTAAGTTCATCCCTAGGTATTTGGCCGAATCGTGATGCGGAATAACGTCATTGTTTATTCTTATTCGTTTTTGTTCATTTGGTCGAAGAGTAAAATCAACATGCACTGATTTAGTTTGATTTTTTTTTATTTTCCACTTTTTTGTCCATCGACTGATTCTGTTGCAGGTTTCCTGAAATTTTTCTGAGGTCTCTGTATTAGTTCCGCCAACTGCCAATATTGCAGTATCATCCGCAAATGTTGCTATTTTAACAGATTGTTGTTGAGGGATATCGCTGGTGTATAATAAATAAAGAACCGGTCCTAGCACACTGCCTTGTGGGACACCTGCTTTAATTTTTTTCATTTCGATGTATGCCTCGTCTTGCTTTACTCTAAACATTCTTCCCGTTAGATATGATAGTAGAATGTCGATATATTGTCTAGGGAGCATTTTTTCAAGTTTCTGTATTAGACCAGCAAACCTTGTCAAATGCTTGGGCTACGTCAAGAAATATAGCTGAGCATATATATTTTTCTTTGTAAGCTTTTTCGATGATATCGGCTATCATGGGTCTATTGTCGAAGGTATCTATTGTCGAAGGTTTGTTTCTAAAACCAAATTGGTGCGAAGGGATCAGATGTTTATTTTCAATTATTGGTTTTAGTCGTTTTAGCAGTAGTTTTTCAAATAATAAAGGTCCGTGGCTAAAGTTATCTCCTGATCGAAAAACCGAAGTTACTATAACGCGTCTAAGACCCGGTCATACGCGACTAACACATGGTTATCTGATCAGTAAGTTTCCAGAACCAATTTGTGAATATTGTAATGTGAATCTAACGGTAAAACACTTTATGACTGAATGTCCCCAATTTATTCAAGAAAGAAACAACCACAATATTTCTAAGACTCTCAATCAAGCTCTTGGTTTGAATTGTTCGTTCAAAAACATTATTTCTTACTTAAAAGCA